CCATATCCCACATTAATGCAATCACTCAAAAAATTTTCACCTGAAAGCATTCGCGCTATTGCTCGAAACCCAAATATAGACTTACAATCAATAGGAATCTATTCAAAATCAGATATTCAACATCACATTAGAACACAACAATTCCAAGAATTATTAACACAAATGGACACTATACAAAGACAATCAATAGACCAAAATTTACGCAAACTTGCAGAAACTGCAGGATTTGCCGATATCTACACGCAAGACTATAGCGGATATTTTAAAGACATTAAAGATTATATATATCTAAACGGCGAAAAATACCGTCCCCAAGATATATCACCAATTAACATTTTTAGCTTTGTTACACTCAAAAATGAGATCCTAGATTTTCTAGGATGGCCCTACTACATCTTAGAAAAATTGACTATTTTATACGCAATGTTTAACTTTATTGGATTTCTTTTCTCACTCTTAAAAGGAATCTACAATACATGTGCTATACACACACAAGTAAACAGACAAGCAAGCGTAGCACGCATACTTTTTGCAGGATTTTTTGGAATTTTTTCCACATCTATAAACAAAATTCTTTTAGACGCACAAATAAAAGAATATAACACAAAAATAACAACACGACAAAATACATACGACGAAGAACATAACAATGTCGACCCACAGCCAACGGCACCACAATTACCACCCCTACCAAATAACCATCCACTATCCCTAGTCCCACGAAATTTTAGAAATTTAGCAATCACACATAATCCAAACTTTAGACTCACCACATCACAAAGTCCCGTCCAACATATAATGACACATCAATCACAAGATGATAATACTTACGAACAAATTATTGAACAACCACATACCACCGCTTTTCAATCTCAAAATAATAATTTTTTTAGCCCACGATGAGCCGCCAACTTGGATCACTCCATCGATCAAATTCCCATCCAACCAACCTTACCTCTTCAATCCCAATAATACCACTTTTTGCTTTTCCGCCACCCGATTTTCCATCTAGCAATGTAACATCAGGCATGAATTCCGACACTAACTCACAAATTTCAGTTTTATACTCCATTTCACAGCTAAATAACCCGAATATTGAAACCCCCGACGAATTTGCCGACTCAGAACCATCTCCATCCAATAATTTTCATAACCCTTCTCAGTTTTCTCAACCTCCTTTTCAACCCATATTGTCAAATAACCCTGACCCCATCACTCCTACACCCTCTTATGCTTCCCAAGTTACCCCAACCTACTCCTCATACCATTCTGACCAATCATCTCCAGACACCCCCCGAATCTCCCCAGAGCTAGACAATTTTATTACCCTCCAACAACAACCCTACCACCTTAACACCCCGACCATAAACCAAATCTCCTCCACTACAAATTCATCCAATCCCCCTACACCCTCTTCAAATTATACTGAATCATTAGCACCATCATCCACATCAACTGAATCCTCACTCAACACTAATAGAGCTTACCGCACTTTTAAAAGAAAGTTCCCCAACCATCCTTTCCCAGCAAAACCAGGAACAGCCCGTGAATACATCAACCACCCCCAGCATACTAACACTAGAGAATTTTTAGCTATCACTTTACCCTCATTTCCACAATACACCTTAAACACAACTCATGACGCTAACGAAACACGCAACTTTGTAGACGAATACGTTTTAATGCCCACTCTCTCTTGGACCTCATACTATCATTTCACTAACCCTCTTTGCTTACCTTTAACCAACACATCCATCGATATAGACCGAAACAAAGACATGCTATATCGACTAACTACACCACTCACCGCTAGACAATTTACTTACGTAGGATATAAAAAATCACTAAAAATACACACTGCACCTAGAGCTAATGAATATACACTAGAATACTACGATCACAACATCATCAGAGCTAACCAAGATCAATTCTTAGACGACGATCGCTTCGCTAACCCACAAATCACCGAGAAATTTTTCATCAAGACACTATATGTATTTACACTAAACATCTTCGACCGAAAGTTTGATCACATTATTTCAGAAGCACTAACAAGCACACAAGCGTACGAAAGTTTTAAAGAACGCTTCCAAATCTTTTCACTAACCTTTCATTTCCTTGCACCACACGAAAGAGATTTACACTGCTCACACGATATTATGTTGCGAACTAAACAAACACATACATACAGTTACTATCGTTTCATCCAAAATCACTTTGACCTCCACACACCCTCTAGACAACCACACCATCGCTTTCAATTCATCAATTCAAAATACACTTCACCGTATTTCCTAAATTTCACATATTGTATTAAAGATACTAACCTTCATGGTATTCTTCGTAACTATGACCCCATAACCCAAATGTACATTTTCTGCCCCATCACCAAGACCTTCAACGCCGAAGAATCCCGACCCTTCCTTATCCCGCACGAGTTTGTACAGCCTATAGAAATCCCCATTTTAGAATTCATCCACAACACTAAATTCAATCACAAATTATATAATCTAATCCAAAACACACCTTATGAGTTTGCAGTTGGCACTGAAGAACTAACCACTATCAAGGCACTCCAATTGCTTTGGCCACTGCTTCAGACTAAAAATATCATCCGCATCTTAGCTAAACTACTAACAACTTCAGAACTAATTCACGACATCTTCCCCCACGGTTTTTTCCCCGACGACTAACAGGTAAGTATGAATTAAATGAATATAACTAACTAATTGAAATATTAAAAAACTCACCATACTTTATCCATGTTTTTTTAGATTTTTAGCCTTCATCCGACAATCACCTACAAAAACCACAAAAGACAAATAAAAATCGCAAATTTCATCAAACAGATTTCAAAAATTCTATTAATCTCTTACACTTATAAATTTATAAATATAATACCAATGCAGTAAATTCATTTCTAAAATTTTCCCCACAAGCAGTAAATCTAATTATGATGAAAATTTGTATCTTAAAATTCCCCCATTACTAGCAGTAAATTTCCAAATTCTATGCAGTAAATTAATAAAATGCAATTGCAGTACTAACCTTTTGATATTTTCATTCATTCGCACAGAAATTCCATCCACACTCACACAGCTCGCCCACGAAGAATTGTTTAAAATAATGAATTTCAGTTTCAAGTTTTCACACTCAACAACTCTAACATATAATAACAAGTTTCAAACTTTCCTTTAACCCGGTTGGAAAGGAATCATATACTAAACAAAACTAACCAACGCAGCTTACTAAATACCACAAATCATAAAATAACAGCATGACTAAGAAAAGGAAACCAACGGTACCCAAACCGGACTAACCCAGTTTAAAACTGGATAATTTATTCTTTTGAAGACTATTACAAAGTCTTAGAAAGAAATAATAAAACACAAAAAAGTCGAAAGACAAACCCATACCACAAACAATTTGCTTTTTGAACAAAGTACATAACCAACAAGACATAAGTAAAACCACAACAAACCCAACATAAAATGTTGTCACATAACAGGACTCCTCATAAAAACCGCATGAAATCATACTCCCACACCTGGCCTAACCCACCAGGAAAGGACGTCCTGAGCATGCTCTATAGCCGGCCTAACCCACCGCGCTACATCCACGCTTTGTGACCACACCTTTATTTTTAATAAGAGCTACTCAAGGGTGAGTAACTCTTCAAAATAACCGAACTAAAACAAAAAGCTTTTGTGAAAACAACTAACTAAAATCATTATTAAAAAATATATTAAACTAATAAAAAATTTATAAAATGTAAAATTACATGATGCAATATATAGATCAGAATACAACACCAAGGACGAACATCAAAAGACAAGACGACCTCACTACACTCGAGAGAGAATGACCAACTACAATCGATATGCCGCTCACAATCACAACTCAAAGGATTTAGAGTACGACTTGACTTCGCAGAAAAGGACTTCATTGAACTAGACCAATGACCACCTCGATGTTCAAGTATACGTACAGATCCGAGTAACCAGGCATCCCCTCCACGCACAATCTCCACGCCATTCCCGAGCTAGATCAAACACAAAAGAAGTTCTCTCCGAAGAACAGAAAAACCTGACATAGCCAACCATTCTGAAACCAGAATTGATGCTGTTGCAGAGACTCAGTCGTTGTCACAAGAAGAACACAACGTCTTGTGTCCTCAATTCCAGATCCCTGGAACTTCCTTAACAAAAAGGAAACAAAAGAAAAATGATGTTCGCCAAATACCAACGTCCATCATCCATCCTTGAACTACAGAAGAACTGTTCTAAAAAATTCTGTAAAACCCGGATGGGTGGAACCTGATCTAAACTATATTTTATGATTGGATAAATTAAATGTTTTACCAATGTAAAGTATTTAATATTAACCAATCATGATCCATCTAACTAACAACCCACTTATTTGTAAGTGCTGAAGTTACTTGTAATTTCAGCACCAGAGAGATTTGAATTTAACTTAGAAATTAGTTGGACTCTCCCGAGCACTTCAGCAGCCGCAATAAACCAGTATACCCTAGATCTATTGAGCCTAGCAGAGACTAGTTAAACAACCTGAGACTAGATAGTATAAGAGTAAGATTAGGATCGGTATTAGACTAAGAAGTTGCACGAATCTATCCGGCCGAAAATAAGATAGCGTGACGAGCAGACGGTGTACCCTATCCGAAATTACTCTATGAGTTATACACCCCAGTCCTAACTCACTATATAAGTGTCTTCACTACGTTCATTGACACATAATGAAATTTTGTGAAAGAAAATATATACTATGGAATATTCTGATCTACTCGCACACCAAACGGGTACTCATTTTGTCAGCTGAAGGCCTGCGTTATTCATAGGGTTAAGAGTACGTGACTAACTATCAATCTTGCTTTGAACCATTTGATTCTACTAGTTTTACTAAATTATCTTTTAAATCACTAGACACGATATAGGCTAACCCTTTGTACATAACTTCAGCTCCAGTAAGAACAAAAAACACGATGCAAAATTTATCAATTAGTTTTAGTTTCATGATATGCTAAGACAGATTCTAATAGCTAAGTAGGATTTTCGAATTCAAAATTGCAGCACCAGAATCTTTTACATTCAATGTTAGATTACTTAACAACAATTGCATTATAATTGCCGAAAACAGTTCGAATAAGTAGAATTTGATACAATGCTTTTAATTTAATTTTCAAATTATTGAAAATTTATTATACTTTCAAATTATTTATACATGAAGATACAAAGTTAAACCAACTTTATAGAAACATTTCAAATTAGCTGAAATTCATTCAGAGAAGACGTTAACGCTCACAACAGCATCGAATGTCATTGCTTATGAACCGATCAATTGAATTTTTAAATGAAAATAATTGAAAAGCCTAATCAATTTCCTTTTCAAAATATCCTGCTAAGTTGCGCTTTCTTGAAAGAAGAACTCAAATTACTAGCGGAAATTGAACACAAATAAGCTTTCCCAAGATAGACAATGATCAATATTAGCTTCAACTTCAGATATTAGAAAAAAAAAGACTTCATAAATAAAAGCACCTCCAAGTGAGAATGACCTAATATTACAATATTTGTCGCGGCGAAATTTCAGTTACAAATCAAGATAACAACATTTATGGCTCCAGTTAACAATATTTATGGCTTAGTGCAAATAAGATTTTCCATCTACAGTAGTATTGGAATTTCAGAGAGTTCAGCTTGGAAATCCCCGTTCCAGGACAATCTTTATCTTTTGGGCTAGTTTCTCTTCCTTCTCTTATTCAATGAGCGCTCTGGCACCGCTGGTGTTGTTCCAGCGCGACCTGATAATGCAGAAATATACGAAATTTACATGAACACTAACTGAATGCAGGCTCTTTCCTTTTGATATTCGACCCCTTTACCCATTTTAGTTCCTTTTGTTACTTTAAATTCAGCTAGGTAACCCTTTGAGGTTTTCCAATAGGCATTTCAGAAACTGATCAAAACTGCATCTAGGCTGAATTTTCTCCTAAAATTCTTCTAGATACCTCGGCTTGAAATTACAGGGAGTGTCTCATGGCAGAATTAGCAAATGACAGACACTTAAACCATACCATCAGTATGCAATGTTCGAAAAATAGTAAATCGTGAGTCCAAGTTTTGGACAAATTAAAGGATTTTGATTCGTCTTCAGCTTTCTGCCAATCCGACCTTCTGCAACAAGAACAATCTTCGAAATTTACCTTGAGTATCTCGGAGATGTCTGGCCTCTGGTCTGGGTTTGGACAGATGCACTGGTCTATGAGTCTGCGCAGATGGATGGAGTAGATGTCAGCTGGGATGGGCGGGTAGTCGCAGTTGGCTATCTTCTGACACAGAGAGTACAGGTTCATTTTGTCCCCGTAAAACGGACTGTGCAACGCCGCCATCTAAACGAGAGAACAAAAATTTATTCACCAGCGGATTTAGGGGGGCCTTTTTACTATTTTGAGATATCCATTTTTGGTGACGGACCCTAAAAATTTTCTAAAGGCGCCAACAAATCATACTAATTCAACGCTATTTTTTGGTAAAATATTTTCAAAAAGTGCCAAAAACTGGGTCAAAATGGGGTCTTTTCGGGCTCAGTGATTTAGAAGAGCTCAGAAAAACTCAGTCTACAAGCATATGTGGAGCACAAAGAAAGTTGAAAACATCTTGCTGGGAGCAAAGCAATATCAAAGCACCATTTAGAAAGATTTTTAAAGGCCCTTGCAACTAGAAGCCCAAAATTTGCCAGAAGCTCAAAGCAATCGCTTGTTTGATATTGCATTCAGACACCTATACCTCCATTCAAAACCACGCTCTATTACAAAATTAAGTTGAACAGCTGATTTTCGAGGTCAATAAACAATACTCAATCAGACTATTTTCACTTAAGTCTACCATTTTTCCAAAACTAATTATGACTAAAAACCTGGGCTTACTTCAGCGCGACTATACTGCTTTTGCGATTGAATTTCTTTACATGTACGACAGAGCCCAAAGGATAAAGATTTAATTCACTTCTGAAGTCCATTAAGCTTGTATATCAGACATCGCCGCCGCCTCTCACTACCTCGAAAAAATTCAGATCCATTAGAAAAGACCAGAACAAGTACATTTTTTACAATAAGCACCAATACTCCCCTGTTGACAGTGGTTAATCGCAGTTCAAAAATCATCTCAAATCTTGAGTTAACCCCAAAAATATGCGTGTTGTTTAGCAAAATAGACAGAAGTTACAACACAATTATCAGGTCCATAGCAACTTTTTCCGAAATCAAATTTATCTTGTTCAGAAAAAAAATCTGCTGTCAAATTATTTTTCTACAGTGTGAATAAAATCGTCTTTGAACGAGCGATCTGTTTGAAGAATGAACACAGAAGCGAAGCTGTGCTTCGCAAACACTAGCGACAACACGACAAAAAGCAGCTTTTTAAAGTGAAATAAGAAAAGATAGAGCCTCGAATTAGTAAAACTTTGCTTCTTATGGGTTTCGACCTGCGACCTCGATAATTGGCGTTTCACACCCTGGCCTCTAGGCCACGAACACTTAACAACCGGCAAACACTAGTCACAAATAAAGCAGTTGCCAATGCGATGCAGCAAAAGTGGCACCAAATACAAAAATACACAATTTTGCATGTAATAGCTTCGAATATAATAAACTGAAGACTTCCACACTAATGTTGCATGCAATAAATTGGAAAGCATACAGCCAAATTGTATAAATTATGCGTTGCGCAAAATTGCGAGATATATTGAGTTAGAAAAATTCTGAAATTTAGTTTTTATGATTGTTATTTTGTTTGAAACAAATAACTTTTTTCGGTTCCTTTGATGAATTTCAAAAGAATCAACTGAGTTAATTTATTACTATTCGAATGACAAAGCATATGCTACCAAAAAGCTTTGATGGCTCCCCAAAAGTGGCACCAATATTTACGAAAAGGTTAGTCGTAGTATAACACTAACGCTCACTTAAGTTCGCTAGCGTAAAAAGTATCTTTACTACATTTAACGAGTTTTTTTTCAAGAATATAATTACTTTTCTTCAAACTTCGACAGTGCATGGACAGGGGTGGATCTAAGACCAAGAGTTCTCATCACCAATCCATGGTTTTCGCGAAGGGGACTGACTTTTTTTTTACATTTGGCCAGCCAAAAAAACCTTGAATAATACCTAAGGGCTGACTAAGTGGAGCCTATAAGTGGAGGCCTTGCTAGCTAAATTTGAGTTGAAAACTTAGCACAAGAAAAAAGCTGCACTTCGCAAACACAATAAAAATCGGCAAAAAAGCTTGAACAGTATATTATAACCATTAAAGATTTGGCGTTACGTTTAAATAATAGGCAAAAAAAACAAACAACTCTTTACCTCATAAAGAAGACATCCCAGAGACCAAATGTCGCTCTTGAAATTGTAACCAGTCTCACTGATTCTCTCTGGACTCATGTAGTAGGGCGTGCCCACCAGACTATGGGCGGCCGTGGTCTTCGAACTGAAGTACCTACCCAGTCCCAAATCGCCCAGTTTGACCACACCCTGTGCAGTTATGAACACATTGGCAGGCTTGATGTCTAAATGAACAAAACTGTATTAAACTTAGGAAAAATAATGCATTGACAATCAAATAATTAGACACCTAATAAACAACTAGCTTCAAATTTCTCTGATTTTTTAAATGAAAACATGTGCAGACATTATAAATTATATACAGAGGCGAAGAGAGAGAAGCAAACAAAAAGAAGCTCTATAAAGTCAAAAAAGAATAAATGGAAATAAGCCTCGAATAAGTAAAAAAAATGCTACGTGTCTGAGTCTTCCATAATCTTCCCTTTAAGCCTATGATGCTCAACAATCGACAAAAAAGACACAAATGAAGCAGAGAACAGATGTTAGGAAATTTCCAATGCTACATATCGTGATTATAGCAAAAGTGCTACTAAATATGCACTTTTATTTGCGAGGTAGGTTGGAAAAAAGTAGAGTCACGCTAATACATTACGCTCGCTAGCTTGTTAGTGTAAATACATATCATGGAAATCAAACGCTGAATTTTATTGTAAATTTCCAGGAAAATATGATCACAAGACCAGAATTATAAAACCTTACCTCTGTGCATGACTCGTTTCTCATGCATGTGGTTCAGTGCCTGGCACAATTGCTCAAAGTACTTCCAGATAGTCTTCTCCGGAATCAGTCTCTTCTGCTTCTTGAAGTGCTTGATCATCCGGGATAGATCCCCCGCGTCAGCTAATTCCAGGACTATCAACAGTTCGTTGTTGGCCACGAACGACTCGATGTATCGGATGACGTTCGGGTGGTCCAGCTGTTTGAGCAAATTGATCTCCTTGATGCAATCATTACGCGCCTTCGCATCTGTCATCTCGTAGATCTAATTAAACAGTATATTAGTATACAAGCTGATGAAGATACCAACAAGTATGAAACTCGTCCCTTATTTCAAGCGATTCGTCGATAGTTCGAACCCGGTCCACTGAGCTGCCTTCTTACAAAAGCAACATTTATACTTTCGAAAAAGACATGCAAGCAACATCAACTATCTTTTAACATGCGTGTCTTTAAGAAGTGGTGGAACATTAGCTCTCACAGGGGATTTGTTTACATAAACAAATGTATTGGGCTTCCCTCCAAATCTTTAAACTGACCTTGACTTTTTTGAGGGCTACAAATGTGTCGGCTATTTTGTCGTATGCTTTGTACACTTCGCTGAACTGACCCTTCCCTATCTTCTTGTCCGTCCTGAAAATAAAAACTATCCGATTAAAACGATACAAACCTTCGTTGAAACGCTTCTGAATGAAAGCATTGCTGACGACATCAAAACATATAAAAAAGAAAATTGTAACTATTGCTGGGACCAGGCTGGGTTCAAACGATTACTCAATTAGTAATTCTGTTATCATAAATATTTCGACTGCATTCATTGATACACAAGTGTAACAAATAAGCTTTGAACGCTAGCCGCCTACGGGATTCGAACCTCTGACCTTAAAGAGTCTACCTCCTTGAGCAAAACGCTTTGAGCCCTTGCTATGTTGCAAACACCAGTTACCAATAAAGCGCCTAAAACCGACTCGGATAACGCAGATACTCTTACACAGATACGCAAGTTGAAAACTTCTGCTCAGCACTAATTTACGCAAGCTAGGACGGAAAAAAATGAACTGATCGTATGACATTGCTCTTACAAGCTCGTTTGTGTAAATACTTGACCTTGAATAACCAAACAGCCGACGTGGCAAATCTCATGCGCGAAGGACCAAGTGCGCAAAAACTCTCAACTAATCAATGCCCTTTAAACTGTCCAAAAATGACTGAATGTATGAATACTGAGCTGTGATTGGTTGACAAAAATTAAGCACATGAGGAATTACCACAACTGACGCTACGTTTGAAGCTGTTAACTGAGTTTTCTACTCACTGAAATCTGTCCCTGTTTTCCTCCGACGGGGGTTGTGTCAGTTCTAACATATCGTCTTCCATTTCCATCGCTATTTAATACTTAATCTGAATTCTTCTATCTGGGAAAATGTTCGAATATTATTAGGAATCGAAACTAAAAGCTCTGCAAACTCTGCGATGTAACACTGCGCCAAATGTAATCTAGATAAATCTTTATTGAATCCGGGGAAATTGATAATATATCTGCCAACTTTTTACCCCTTGGGAGTCAGGTTCAGTTGGATACTTCGTTGCTGCCAGAAATGCAAAGGAAAATTCTCAATGGTAAGCTGAGGATAAATGGTGCGAATTCAAGATGAAAAAGTGGGCTCTTTTCACTGCTGTTGGAAAAGCCAATCAAATCAGTAGCAGATACAAAACGGAAGACAAATGTCGCTTAGCAGTTACGCCTGGCAGAGATAAATAGAAATCCGTGTTTTTGGGTGGAAGGATGGAAGAATATAAGTCAAAGCTCAAAAAATACGATATGTTTATTTTGAAGTTCTGCAAAGTAAAAACGAAAAGAGGTCTGTGAGCTTATTTTGCAAGCAATAAGTAGATCACAAATAAGGCAGATATAGGCAAAGGTAGAAACAGAGAAAGTAATAAAAAGATAGAATTGTAGAAGATGTGTGATTATGTGTGGTATAATAATGGCACTAAATTTGCAAGGCAAGCCGCATTGAAACGGAAAGAACCATTCAAATTCCCGATAACTGCAAAACACCAACACTAAATCATTTGATTCTCTGCTCTCTTAAATTTTTAAGGAAAAATGGTTTGATATATGGAAAAGCAGGTGCATTTGCATAATTCCGTTTGTTAGAAATAATCGAAAATAAGGCAACTGTTTATTTGTACTCAGTTTAGTGTTGAAACATCACGTGTATATTACGATATGCAATAACCATTAAACAAATCGATAAGATCAAATTGCGTTTTCCATGCCCATCTATATCTGAAAAAATAAATTATTCAAACAGACTCCGTTTCCTCTTCTCATTTGCAGTTTTTAAAATTATCAAACGAGCTTTCAAAGCACTTCGCTCATCGTATTAAATAATTGATCTATGTATGTCAAATAAAGAAAAATTGAACAATAATTAGCAATATCTTTATGGAAAAAAAGTGGCAAATGCATTAGCTGATGTCAAAATGCAGCCAACTACTGAGAAAATCAACAGCTATCAATCAAGAGATAAATGACCCTTCAATTGCAAACTGACATTTTTTAAAGGAACTGATTTTGATAAAAATAGGCATGAACTGGGAAAATAGTCTAAAACTGGTTAAATTGATGAAAAAATGAAATCACTTAGATAAAATGGACAAGGACGCGGTACAAAAACAAATGATAATGCTACTAATTATTAAGATATAAAAATGACGTTTTTCATCGAGCCCGCATGTTAACTCGCTCGGAAGAACAATTTTGTAATTTTGAATTTTATAGAACAATCCAGTTCATCGGAAAACGAAAACAACGGCAAAAAAACTCATCGCAACTGAGCGATTGAAAGGGCTTTAACATGATAAACCGATTGGCTGATACTGATGTCTATTTATGGTACTCAATTTTTCATGAAAAAAATGAAAAAACTAAAACACCCGAATGACAAAGTTCATTCCCACTTTCAGTGGTCACAACAAAATCCAAAACAACATAGGGCAAGGAATTTTCGTGTTTTATTATATTTTACTTAAATTTGAACAATTCTTGGAGTTCGTTTTAAAATTGACATTCCTTACATATATAACTAGGCTTGAATCCTGAAAATATTACTTAGCTCTATCGTTTTTTATGCATTTTTTGAAATAAAAACTGTTGGTGTTTACATTTTTTAGAAAATGAAAAACTAGAAAATAAAAAATAATACAATTGATGGCTTATGAATATTCTTTAACTTCAATGGCTTGCATCATTCAAGTTATTGTTCCGACTTTCGATACGAAAGTAACGGAATATTTGTGCTCGGGGTGGGTTTTTTTTTTCTTCAGACAAATTTCGACTTTTTAACTAGCCATTTTTGACGGAAATTTTTTATATCATTCGAAAGCTATTGTTGTCCTGAGCTTAAATTTGAAAAGATATTTCACCTGTGATCCTTTTTCGTAAAGTTATGAGGGTTTAAAGATTGCCATTTTGACCAATTTGGGACAATTAACGCGCGATATAATTCGCGCTATTAACGCGTAAGCGGAGAATTCATCCGTCTTAGAAATCGTTCCAAATTGGTTGTAAGAAGCTTATTTGCCATAATTGATTTGTTAAAAGGAGCGAAATCTATTGTTTTGTACTTTATATGGCGTGTGGGGAGATGATTTTCATAGAAAAATTTTCAAATTTTAGAAAAAAAAATTTTTTCATTTTATTTTATTTAATTTAATTTTTTTATGTTGTTTATGTTATTACTGCTCCATAAACGTTAAAAGGCAGTCGGAACTTACAGGGCTTCGCCCTGATACGAGCAGTCTTGTTATTTATGGTACTCAATTTTTCATGAAAAAAATGAAAAAACTAAAACACCCGAATGACAAAGTTCATTCCCACTTTCAGTGGTCACAACAAAATCCAAAACAACATAGGGCAAGGAATTTTCGTGTTTTATTATATTTTACTTAAATTTGAACAATTCTTGGAGTTCGTTTTAAAATTGACATTCCTTACATATATAACTAGGCTTGAATCCTGAAAATATTACTTAGCTCTATCGTTTTTTATGCATTTTTTGAAATAAAAACTGTTGGTGTTTACATTTTTTAGAAAATGAAAAACTAGAAAATAAAAAATAATACAATTGATGGCTTATGAATATTCTTTAACTTCAATGGCTTGCATCATTCAAGTTATTGTTCCGACTTTCGATACGAAAGTAACGGAATATTTGTGCTCGGGGTGGGTTTTTTTTTTCTTCAGACAAATTTCGACTTTTTAACTAGCCATTTTTGACGGAAATTTTTTATATCATTCGAAAGCTATTGTTGTCCTGAGCTTAAATTTGAAAAGATATTTCACCTGTGATCCTTTTTCGTAAAGTTATGAGGGTTTAAAGATTGCCATTTTGACCAATTTGGGACAATTAACGCGCGATATAATTCGCGCTATTAACGCGTAAGCGGAGAATTCATCCGTCTTAGAAATCGTTCCAAATTGGTTGTAAGAAGCTTATTTGCCATAATTGATTTGTTAAAAGGAGCGAAATCTATTGTTTTGTACTTTATATGGCGTGTGGGGAGATGATTTTCATAGAAAAATTTTCAAATTTTAGAAAAAAAAAATTTTTTCATTTTATTTTATTTAATTTAATTTTTTTATGTTGTTTATGTTATTACTGCTCCATAAACGTTAAAAGGCAGTCGGAACTTACAGGGCTTCGCCCTGATACGAGCAGTCTTGTTATTTATGGTACTCAATTTTTCATGAAAAAAATGAAAAAACTAAAACACCCGAATGACAAAGTTCATTCCCACTTTCAGTGGTCGCAACAAAATCCAAAACAACATAGGGCAAGGAATTTTCGTGTTTTATTATATTTTACTTAAATTTGAACAATTCTTGGAGTTCGTTTTAAAAATGACATTCCTTACATATATAACTAGGCTTGAATCCTGAAAATATTACTTAGCTCTATCGTTTTTTATGCATTTTTTGAAATAAAAACTGTTGGTGTTTACATTTTTTAGAAAATGAAAAACTAGAAAATAAAAAATAATACAATTGATGGCTTATGAATATTCTTTAACTTCAATGGCTTGCATCATTCAAGTTATTGTTCCGACTTTCGATACGAAAGTAACGGAATATTTGTGCTCGGGGTGGGTTTTTTTTTCTTCAGACAAATTTCGACTTTTTAACTAGCCATTTTTGACGGAAATTTTTTATATCATTCGAAAGCTATTGTTGTCCTGAGCTTAAATTTGAAAAGATATTTCACCTGTGATCATTTTTCGTAAAGTTATGAGGGTTTAAAGATTACCATTTTGACCAATTTGGGACAATTAACGCGCGATATAATTCGCGCTATTAACGCGTAAGCGGAGAATTCATCCGTCTTAGAAATCGTTCCAAATTGGTTGTAAGAAGCTTATTTGCCATAATTGATTTGTTAAAAGGAGCGAAATCTATTGTTTTGTACTTTATATGGCGTGTGGGGAGATGATTTTCATAGAAAAATTTTCAAATTTTAGAAAAAAAATTTTTTCATTTTATTTTATTTTATTTAATTTTTTTATGTTGTTTATGTTATTACTGCTCCATAAACGTTAAAAGGCAGTCGGAACTTACAGGGCTTCGCCCTGATACGAGCAGTCTTGTTATTTATGGTACTTGATTTTGCCTGGACTAAAACTAAAACACACCCAAAGACAAAGTTCCTAGGAATAATAAAAACGGCTGCAATTTTAGTAAATCAGAAAGAAATACACGTTGAAAGAGAAACAATAAATTATCACATATGTAAAAAACTTCGCATATGCAACCAACAAATCATTATTACCACTATTGGAGTCCTCGCGAGCTTTTACAGTAGTTTACATTTTGAATAAACGATTTGGTGTCAGGACAATCTACCTTATTCCAAACTACCCTATACCATTCTACCCTATGACATTATACCCTACATGCCAATCTACCCTATACCAATCTACCCTATACTAATCTGCCCTATATACCATAATGAGGTCCCATAATGTAATCTTTCAAAGTCCTAATTAGAATCGGAAAGATACAGCACGTGTTAATTCATTTGAGTCTAAATTTTTGGACTCAATTTGAGTCTTTCACTTAAGGAAACTGCTCTAAAGACTAAATCGCAATTAGAGCCTCAAAATCTGAAATTTGTTTCAATTAACAAGTTTTAATCCCCAATTTTCAAAATCACGTACAAAAATGAAACCAAAACTACGTCATTATATCAATTTTCTTTGGAATAACATTTACCAAAATGAGTCAAATTTCTTGGGGTTTATCCCAACAGAATCGGCGAACGCTTGTAATCGTTGGCCACGAGTTTACGAAAAAACAGGAAACAAAGAATGGAAACATTGACTGGAAGTGTTCAAGATGGGGGTCCCACAAATGCAAAACGACAGCAATAACCCGAGAAAACGATCTCATTGCCTGTAGAAATGAGCACACGCACGAAGTATTTCCTGGTCGTTCGGATGCAAGGCTTCTCGTGCAGAAAATGAAACAGGACACAAAAAAACAGCAAGTACCAGTCAATAGCGTAATTATAGCAAACGGCCTGCAGTCTGTCTCTGAAGAAAAAGCAGTTCAATTAGCTCTTCCTTGCCGGTCGGCTATGAATCGGGCCCTCAATCGACAGAAGGTAAATGATAGACCCACATTGCCTCCAATTGTCGACAGACATTTTGAAGTGCCAAAGCAACATGAGGATTTTTGCGTCTTCGATAGCGGCATTGAAGATCCAGAAAGGGTGTTGATTTTTGGAGATCGGGACAATATCCAGAGTTTAATATTACATCGAGATGTTTGGCTGTGTGATGGAACGTTCAAAGTTTGCCCGATTCAATTTTATCAACTCTACACCATCCACATTCAACTCGCTGGCTTTTACCCCATACCCCCCCCCCCCCCTGCATTTATGCACTGTTGCCCAACAAAACAGAACACACTTACAAAAAGCTACTGAAGGGGTTTCTGGCCTAATACCGCATTAAATACCGATATGTTTCTGGCCTAATACCGCATTAATATGACAAAATCTTCCAACAATTGAATTTAGAAGAACTTCTGAGCAAGACTAATGCGTCGCTGACGTGTTATAAAACAAAATACACCACGCTTTAATTATCAAAGTTGACAATTTCTACAACCTCATCAACTATAGGGAAAAGAAGCGCTGGTAAATTATCTTTTTTATCTTATTATCAGGACTGTAGTACTATCCAGACAAAAAAAACTTTGTCACTTTCGACAAAAATTGTAACAA